GCAGAAGGGGTGAACTGAAACGAACTTCGACGCCAATGACAAAGAACTGCACCGAAGTTACTGAACAACCGACGAATCAACCTGTAAAAGATGGACAGTGACAGGAACGAACACAAGTTCCACAACAACCACAGCGACAAACAAGAGAAGGAACAAACATAAAGACCCCTAGAGACAAAAAAAAAAAAAAAACACCCCTAGAAAGAAAAAAAATAATAAACAAATCAACACACATTCCACGACATCCCGTCTACAGGCAGGCTACGTCGGACGATGCTCCCAGTGACAGGCCACATCCGTATGGGAGCTGGGTGCACTACTGGCAGCAGGTGGAGGAGGAGGTGCCGACCGACCAACAACTTGTGGCAGACCGAGGAGCCCGTGTGACGGTCACGAAGGAGGAGTTGACGCAGGCAAGAGAGAGGATGCGCGTCGTGTCCCGCATGGGAGCCACTCGTCGCTTGCGGRAGTCTGACAGGAGGAGGTGTCGTGGCGGCGGTCGCGGAGGTGGTCGTCGGGGCGGTCGCTGGCGAGGCGGGCGTGGAGGTCCTGGCGGGAGGCGTAGTGTCGCGAGTCGTGGAAGGGCGGTGGACGAGCTAGTACGCAAGCCTCGACAGCGATGGGATGAGGGAGACTTTTTGTACGAGAGCTCGTCCAGTGATGACGAGGATTTCTTCGGGACTGGCAGGCCTGCACAGGATGGCGACAGCGATTTCGACGACCGTCACCCGAACGTGGGCGACGACGATGGCGCCAGTGGCGATGATCACGGTGACGGAGGAGATAGGCCACGACCTGCACATGGTGACACGATGCGCGCCGACGGGGCAGGGGGCGAGCACCGCACAGCAGTAGATGACGCTCGAGATGGAGTGCATGATGATGGTCCACGACCTGTCTCGGGCGGTGACCTGAGGCGCTTGAAACGCGGACCAAGGGAAAAAGACACTATCGTGCAAACGTCATGGTGGGGTTGCCAGCATTCCACTATCACAAGTTCCCGCAACTGGGCAGATTCCAGTTTCTGAGGACTCTTTCAGCGATCACGGCGGCGAGGAGCGGATCGAGCTGCATGGCGGGAGCGGTCATCCACGAGGTGACACTTCGAGTATGCACGCGACAACTCCGATGGGGCCTTCCGCAGCAGTCCCAGAATCGCAACAGGGTCCAGCACCGTTGATGCGTCATCCCGAGGTTCAGGGAGAGATCAGTCCTCTCCCGGCAGTGCGGGACGAGGGTTCTGTCCGTGCACTGCATCCACTCACGTCTGCCGGAGCGGCAGTCTCAGTTGCAGCGACCTCGGATGTGGGACAACCACTGGCAGCGGCGGAGCAAGAAAGTATGCTCCCACCTCGCAGTGTTCAACCGCGGCCACCGCCTGCATTGATGGAGGGGAGTCAGGGGACCGTTGTTAAGTGTCAAGGCGACGATCTCCCGGAACGTGATATCTCACACACTCCTGCAGCCGAACAGAGCGCCGCAGACCATGTCGGCCTCGCATGCCCCACCGGCAGTCTTCCGGGTACCGGCGAGTTACTGACCATGGACTCTGCGCTCGTTTCTCTACCGGACTTGTCGACGTTGATATCCCCAAGTCTACCCCATGTGTCACCGCCCAAGCCACAACAGCCTGTTGTCATGGAGCGTGGATCGGACGGGTTTGACGTGGCAGGAGGCGATATCGCCGATATGATGACGAACCCAATGGTGTCTGCCACGCCCACAATTTTTCGTGTTGGCAAACTACGCGAGGTGGCCCTTGGTTTGGCGGAGACGGCGACGCGACACCGCCGCGACGGTCAGCGCAGCATCGCACAACGCAGTCTTTCTCATTCGTTTGACGGCGCAGAGGAAGGGTCTCCTGGTGGGCCAGTTGACACACTCGAAAGAGAAGCAAGACCCCCAAGTCCGCCGTCAAACTTAGAGCATTATCCGATTGCCGCGGCTGTCGGGGCAGATGCGGGCGTCCCCGTCAGAAACAGTGTCGCGGACGCGACAAAACAGCTTGTGGTTGGGTCATCGGCGACAGCACGGCACGACAGAGCCACTGTTTTGCCGACAGTGGCATTTTATGCCAGCGGGAAGAGTACTGGGGGGATGGATGAGCAGGGAGTCCGGAATGTTGGCAGGCCATCTGCACCGTTTATGGGGAAACGATCCATTGGGAGTGTGGATGGTGCTCGGCACACCGCCATGGCAGAGTTTGAGGACCKACACGGGAGTGCTTTGCCGACGAAGACGTCTGATGTCCATGCTACGAGAGCCGCAAAGGCGAGTCTTTCTCGGGCAAGGAAGAAGGCCTCGGCAAGGAAG